AGGGCTTTAGAAAGGGTCTTGCTATGTAGTAGGGCTTTAGAAAGGGTTTTGCTATGTATGTAGTAAGCCAGACCCTACTACATAGCAAGACCCTTTCTAAAAAAACAAACAGTATCGAGTTCTCTGAGTATCTGGCTTAATCTCTTCAAGGGCTCATTCAGGCTAACCTCACAGAGACCCACATCCTGAATGCTGGGATTAAAGGAGTGTGACACCGTGCCCACTACTGTCCCCTTTATAAGGCGTAATGAGTACAGACCAAGAACAACTGTATCTTTCCTAACATACTCTCCGCTTTTTTCTCTGAGGCGAGGTTTCTCACCGTCCTGAAACTCACTAATTAGGCTAGTGTGGTTCACCGAGTAGTTCCGGGGATTGGCCTGTCTCTTCCTCCAGCTGAGTTTTCATAACAAACCGCCACACTCAGATTTTTTTTACGCGATTTCCGTGGATCAACCTCGGAGGTCCTGTGCTACAAAGCAAGCACTTTACTGCTTAAGCAATCTCCGCCGCCCTGAACAATGTGTCTTAAAACACCACGTTATATATTTCAATCTTGTGCAGTTTTGTCACCTAAATAATTAAGGCTGGGAAAATTAAAATCTAATAAGGGCCCGGCACGGTGGTGCACCCCTTTAATCCCAGCACTCCGTAAGCCGAGGCAGACCGATCTGAGTGAGAGGCCAGTCTTGGTCAACAGATCGAGCTCCAGGACAGCCAGGGCTACACAGAGAAACCCCGTCCTGAAGTGAATGAATAAATCTACTAAGTAAGCTTAATTGAGCCGAGAAATAAAAATCAAAAATCAAAAATATCACAGGAGGCGCTTCCAGTTGGAAAGGCTTGACGATTGTAATCTTTTCTAGATTTGATAACCGAAATTTCTGACAAGAATCGACTTTTAAAAGGTTTTCATGGACTTACCGTTCGAGGTGTCATGGCGAACCCGATCCGCTATATACCGGAACAGAAGCGACGCCAAACCCAGGGGCTAAACACTCCCCGAAGCCTCGGTGAGTGGGACTTCCGTAAGCAAGGCTCCACCTTCTTAAAGGTTCCTCAAAACCTCTAGACGCTGGGGTCAAACCATTCAAATACTTGAACCTATGAAAGACCATTTCACTCAAAGGATGGACTGTCAGATGGTATTAGAAATTAACTCGAGCTGGCTGTAGTGGCACACGCCTTTAATCCCAATACTCGGGAGGCAGAGGCAGGTTGGTGTCTGAGTTCGAGGCCAGCCAGGTATACAGAGTGAGTGCCAAGACAGCCAGGACTACACAGAGAACTCCTGTCTCAAAATCCGCCTGCCTCAGCCTCCCAAGTACTGGGATTAAAGGCGTGCGCCACCTCTGCCCGGCCTCGAAGCTAATTTTTGTTTTATGAGATAAGGTCTTGTTATTTAGCCCAGGAGAGCCTAGCAGTTCACAGCAATCCTCTTGTCTGAGCCTGAAAAGCTGGGGTTAAAGGCGTGCGCGCACCACAGCCCTGCCCAGACGAACATGACGTCAGGGTTTCCCCTGAGCGGCCATGACGCAGCTCCACCAGCAGGTGGCACTGCGGAGTCGCAGGTGTGGCGGGACGACCCTTTACCCAGGGCTGTGGGGATATTGAGTTCCAGATGGTGGGGAATTCGGTTCAGAGATGTTTTTCCTGCTGTTTCGTTTACTAAATACTACCTGCGGATACACAAATATTTCAACATATAGCTGAGCTGTAACCGTACAGCTATCTGAACGTCACCACCAGTTGCAGGCGGTTGTGAGCTGCTGGATGTGGGTGCTGGGAACCCTGGAAGAGAAGCAAGTGCTCCTAAATCGCTGAGCCTTCCCTTCACCCCATAGCCAAATTGCTTGACAATTACATCCTCATCCCAATGCCTGCACCGCCGTCCACTATATTATAATCTAGTCTTCTACTATATGGGGCCTTTGAGCTCACCTCTTCAATGCACCACAATGGTCAACCCCACTCTGACCCACCGCCCCCTCCCCAACCCTTTAATGTCTTCCTCTGGGTTTTCTCCTTTCCTTTTGCATCCCTAGCTGGCTCTTCTCCACAGAGAGGAAGTAAGACGCCTGTAAATTCTCCACTTTCTTCCTCGCCAGGCTCTTGGCTTGCATTACTTCGAAGATGACCTATTCCTCTCCGTCCACCTCTATGATGATGGTGCCCAATGTGTGCAGCCAGCACCCCTTCCCCAAGCTGCACTTGCATATAATGTCTCCAAAAATTACCCATGATAAATGCGCCGAATCAAAAGCATGCTATACACTCTCCCACCCCATCACCAAACACACAGAGAGGGAGAGGGAGAGGGAGAGGGAGAGGGAGAGGGAGAGGGAGAGGGAGAGGGAGGGGGAGAGGGAGAGGGAGAGAGAGAGAGAGAGAGAGAGGGCGCAAAGCAAGCCAACAGCCTGTCAATCTATCACAGCTGCCTTTTTCCCACTGGTTCTGGTTCAGTTTCCTTCTAGGATGGCTACAAAACCTTCTGGTCACTCTCCCCTTCCAAATAAGTGTCCACGCTGCAATCACAGTGGTCTACAGGCAATTATTTCCCTGCCCTTTAGTCGCAGGGTTAAAAAAAATTTTTTCTGGGGGCTGGTGAGATGGCTCAGTGGTTAAGAGCACTGATTGCTCTTCCAGAGGTCATGAGTTCAAATCCCAGCAACCACATGGTGGCTCACAACCATCTGCAATGAGATCTGATGCCCTCTTGTGGGGTGTCTGAAGACAGCTACAGTGTACTTATAATAAATAAATAAATAAATAAAGTTAAAAAAAAAATTTTTTCTAACAGGGTCTCATGGTGGAGCTCTGGCTGGACTGGAACTCAGAGATCTGCCTTCTGCCTTCCAAGTGGTGGAATTAAAGGTGTGCCCCACCACACCTAGCTCCATGGGTTAGTTCTTTGTTTTGTTTCACTCCATAAGATCAGGCTAGCCTCAAACTCACAGAGATTCAACTGCATCTGCCTCCCGAGTGCTGGAATTAAAGGTGTATTCCACCATGCCTACCTTCATGGGTTAGTTCTTAAGACTCTTTAAAGTGGGGACTGAAGAGCTGGCTCAGTGGTTAAGAACACTAACTGTTCTTAGGGATCCTGAGTTCAATTCCCAGCAACCACATAGTGGCTCACAACCATCTATAATGGGATCCGATGCACTCTTCTGGTGTGTCTGAAGAGAACGACAGTGTACTCACATACAATAAATAAATAAATAAATAAATAAATAAATAAATAATGAGAAACCACTTAGGGAAGAGAGAGGTGGTCAGATCTTCAAGACAGAAAGGTGGGACCTGTTTCTGTCCAGGGTGGCAAGAACTGGCCTGCTCCTGCCCTGGTCATGAAGCAGAGGAAGCATTCTAGCATTCTGCTGGCTTTCTCTTGAGACTCTGTCCAATCAGTGGGGCTCCCTGCATCCCTTGTTGACTAAACTTGTCTAGAAATACTCTCACATCCACCCAAAGGGGCATCTCCCAGGTGATTCTAAATCCAGTCTCGTTGACAATGAAGATTCATTAATGGGATAAAAAAGGAAAGATTCCATTCTGTTGCAGGCTCACGACCATTTGTAATGGGTTCTGATGCTCTTTCTGCTGTATCTAAAGACAGCTAGTGTAGTCATATAAATAAACAAAATAATTCTTGTTAATGTGGCCACAGACCTCTGCAACCTCTCCTACCTCCTTGCACTCACCACCTCAGGAATGGGTCTTTACCCTCAGCACCAGTGCACACACTGTCTCTCACTTCCACCTACCTTCTGTAAGTTCTCCACTTTCTTCAGTACCAGGGTTTACTGTTCACACTACACTGTATATAATGTTTCTCTCCACCCTCCTCTAGGGTAGAAACAGCCCCTGGGCTAGAACACACTTGCTGGACCTGCATCTGTGGAACTCCTCTTGCCCAGAGTTCAGTTTGGCCTGTGTGAAGCCCTCTGCTCCTCTAGGCTGTTTAGTCAGACTCGCAGAGACTGGCTGCCCTGGCAGTGTTCCCATAGCACCGGAAACAGCTCATTTTTCTCAGCCTTGCACAACTGCTTGAAGATCCAGCTTCCAGAGCTGTAGAGATGGCTTACAAGCCTGCGTTCAGACCACCAGCACTTAAAAGGCAGTTGTGTGTTAACTAGTGCTTCAGGACATAGAGGTAGGAAGATTCCTGGAGTTCATTGGCCAGCCATTTTAGCCAATCAACGAGCTCCAAGTCCAGTGAGCCATTTATCTAAAAGGAGACAGAGGACACTGGTGTCTTCCCTCCATGCCCACACAGCATCTAGCCATGTCAACACCTCCTGATCAGGACCCCAGGGGTCTTCTATCATTCTTCTCCCATTATTTACCACACTTTAAATTATTACTTTCATCACTCAACAAACCATGAACTTCACAAAGGGCTATTTATTTCTTACCAATTAGCAGTGATTGACAGGTACTAATAACTCAGAGAATGTTCAGTGGGTAAATGAGTGGGAGGTGGGGGGACGTTCCCAGTACTATTCACTCTAGCTACATGTGATAACTAAGTTGTGTTAGCAGTGGTGGCTGGCTGTTCTATGGTCTGCTGGAGTTAAGACACTTTATTGAAAAAAGATACAGAATTTGTCCCACAACTTCTGGGAAATAGTTGTCAGCTAGCTTATGTTGGTTCCATCGTTGGTGGAGGCTGAATAATAACTGAACTCACCTGGACCACTCACCACTCCCTGCTTCAGAATGAGAGCTGTACAAATAAAGCTCTTTGCATTGAGACTTTGTCATTCTGCTAGACTGGCTAGCTGCATGCCAGGGCCTGGTGCATAGCCAGGTACCCACTGGTGGACACAACCCAAGCAAGAGGGAGTGAGGAGGGTTATGTTACCTGAGCACGGGAGGGACACTAAACGAAGACTACCAGGCCCTTCCTCTCAGTCTCTCCCCAGCCCCAGGTATGACAGAGCACATGGCCTCTCTTCTCCCTGACCTATCTGTCCTTAAGACAGCTCTTTGCCTGGTATTGTTTTCCTATAAAATGAGCAAGGCACGGACAGTGACTGTGGACACGTATCCCACATCGTTTGGGAGTGAGCTGCCTCCAGATCCACAAGAGTTCAAAAACAGCCTGGTCTACACAGCAAGTCCAAGACTGCACAGTGAGATCCAATCTTTAAAAAAATATTGGTTCTGGTGAGGTCTTCACCTGAAGTCCATACAGCTCCCCATGCCAACTCCATCCCAACCCAACTCACCCAAATGCCCATGGGGAACCTCAAGAGTCAACCGAGGACAGGGAACAGAAGCATCAGGGGGCAGACACACCCAACTGTGTTTTGTTTGTGAGGCCAAAGAGCCCTAGATTAGAGAGTGGATTTTTCTTAGTTGTGTCCTTTCCTCGTTTCTAACATTCTGGGGACAAAACCTTCATGCGTGCTCACATGCTGTGGTTCTAACTCTGTATGACAGTGCAGGTTACAGGACTCATGTCCTTGCTGGAGCCACTGAAGGGAGCAAAGGTTTTAGGAATGCATGGCCAGGGGCCTCAGTCTCTTCTCAATAGAGGTTCCTTTCTCTTCGTTGGCAGATCAGTGCTGGCACTGGAGAACATGCTACTGACCCAGGACCTGAAGGAGATGCCCCTACAGAGCAATCCAGCCCTGTAGTCCATGCTGCTGCCCTACTGGACAACACTGTTCACTACCGCCCCCTCCTGTTTCACCAAGAATTCAGCCTAGGGCTCTCATTTCTGCAGGATACAGAGAACTCTTAAAGATGGCCCCAGCTACCTGCTAACTTCTGGATCAGACCCTAAGCAGTCTGAACTCCATCCCCAAACCAGAGCAAATAGTCTCAGGAACTATCTATTGCTTTTCACTCCCAGGCTCTTAATGGAACCTGACACTGTCCTTAAAGAGCCGCTCTGCTCCAACGGTGAATGCTGTTTGCTGTAATTAAGTCTCCGCTTGCACACATTTCATTAACTTTTTCACAAG